AATCACTAAGAGACAGAGGAACAGGACAGGATGGCACAGAAGGAAAGATGTACAGGTGAGGGGGCAGAAGGTTGGGGAAGACCAAAGCCTCAGCTAGGTCGGAAGGAATGAAAACCACATGAAGCCAGGAGGGAGGGAACCCCCAGGCGAAGGAGGGCCAGCTTGTCTCTCACCCCGCCCTGTGCATCTCAGCCACACTATGGCACGTCACACTTGTAGGAAAGAGGCTGGGAAACGTGGGCTGGCTCCCATGACCATCCCTAAGCAGTCCTTTCCCTATTCATTATTGTCATCTTTTTTCCATAAATCAAGTCTTCCCAACTCAAAAACTGCAGCATCCACAAAATGCTGACTCAAGTCACCAGCATCAATATGGAGAAACAGGGACTGTCATGGGGTGATGTGTATTTATTTATCACAGTTGGTGACACCTCCCCACACTCTCCATGTTCCAGAAATCCTGTCAGCTTAATTTATGTGGCTCATAGCTCATTCCCTTCTGGGTGACAGGCTTTTTGTCTTCTTCATTTGGAAACTTATCTTTAGGATTGTCCAAGTCCTCACTCTCGTTAATTTTTTATACGCCTCATTCCATCTTGAGTCCCTCGCGTGTGAGGGAGCTCCCTTAGCGGCTGGCACACCCTCGGCACTGTCGGACATGTCTCCATCCCGTGACCCACAGAACAAGTGTCTGGAATTGTCTCTCCCAAGCCCCTGATACACTGGAGGATGTTTTTCCATGTTCTTCCTATCTTTAGAAAAGTCAGTAGAGTGAAGGGCATTTCCTCACACACAAGTCAGGATCGGGGTTTTTAAATAATAAAAATAGGAACACTTTATTTAGAAAAAAGTTAAGCTAAAATCAAATCACAGATTAAAAGTGCTGAGGAAACTATGCCGGGCTGAAGCCAGCTGAACTGAGTCAATTATCACCAATCATAAAACACGACTTAGAAGAGGCCCTGCGCCCCAGGACAATGGCGCAATTAAATCTTTACAACTGCAACAAGATAGGCTACATAATTAGGTGAAGCCACAAGAGGGTCCCACATTTCCCTTTCCGGTGGCTGACCCGCGAGGGCAGGCATGCAGCCATCTCTGTGCTGGGAAAAGGCCTCCTGGGCCCCCAGCACTCGCCGTGCCTGAACCACATCCGCCACCGGCCGCTGAGGTGGAGTTTCCTTTGGCAACGGGCCACCAACAATCCTTGAGTTCCTCATCAACCTTGGGCCCAAACAAGCACAAGAACACCAGTCCCTGCCCCACAGGTAAGCACTGAACGCATGACCCTATCTAATGAAACAGATGCAGCCGTCTGAGGAGGCTGCAGAAGGCAGGGCTGTGCTACGCACCTATGCGTCAGTGGTGTTCACATCTGGAACACTGTCCAAGCAGTGCATGTGAGTTGTGTGGCCACTGTCTTGGGGACTTGAAGTGTTAAGTGGCAGATTAAGAATCCATGACTGAGCATAACAAATCTAAGTCAGCTGTTGTTGATGGTGATTTTTAAAATTCGCATTATTTATTTATTTACTTATTTATTTATTCTGTGTCTGTGTGTTTGCATGCACACGAACGTGCATGTGTGCTTATGTCTGTGCATGCGTGTCTGTGTGTCTGTTTCTGCGAATGTGTCTCTCTGTGTGCTCATTTCTGTCTGTGTGTCTGTTTCTCTCCCTGTGTGTGTTTCTATGTGAGTGTGCCTGTATGTGTGTGTTTCTCTGTGTGTGTCTCTGTGTGTTTAATACTGTACATGTATAGAGTCACATGATAACCTGGGGATACAGTTCTCTTTCTACCATGTGGATTTCAAGGGTCACACTTAGGTTGTCAGGGCTAGCGACTCCTTTACCTGTTTGGCCATCTTGCTCATTTTTAAGACACTATTATTAATTATTTTCCGATACTGCCATTATTTTTAAAGACTGCGCAATAGTATACATTACCATCAGCAGCCAGTTAGACTTTCTGTTATTACTATCGATTTTAAATTATTATTAGCATATTTCCTCTTTAGTATTAAGTTTATACTTACAAGAATCACAATCAGTAGCCTGCTACAAAACTGTGATAATTATCTAGCAAGACAAATTTAGGGCACTGACATTAGGAATGAGAGGAAAAATCCAGTTCCCAGAGCCACTGCAGAGAGAGGTATATGGCCTTCAACAAGAGCCTCATGCAGGTGAGAACTGGAGGTGTGGTGTGGGACTGGAGGTATGGCAGAAAACTGAAGGTGTGGCAGTGAACTGGAGGTATGGTAGGGAACTGGAGGTGTGGCAGTGAACTGGAGGTGTGGTGTGGAACTGGAGGTATGGTAGGGAACTGGAGGTGTGGCGTGGAACTGGAGGTGTGGCAGGGAACTGGAGGTGTGGTGTGAAACTGGAGTTGCCATAGCAGGTAGAATGGGAAGGGGTGACTTCATGGAGAATTAGAAAGACAGAAGATACTCAGATCTAAGGCCCGGGAGGAGGTCCATGGCCCTGCAGATACTTGCCCACCATGAATATGAAGATTCTCCTATTTCCCCTTTTTAACTTACTAGATACAACCAAGGTCACGGGAAGAGAGGATAAAGGACCAAATATCCCGGGGACTTTCTGTGGACAGAGGTGGTCCCGCCTAGTTACCTCATTTTGCCCTATGACACAGAGGGCCAGAAAAGTCAAATATCACACCGGAAAACGTGGATTAGCAATAAGCAGATATTGGACCCTGACCTGGAATACTAATTCAGGAAGAGAGGCCTGTGATGTCTTCCTAAGAATTTTCAGGAACAGGGACCTCAGGTGCATTGTTAGCAACCTTCAAGTGGGAAGGAAATTGCCCCTGGAAACGACTAATGAAAACCTGCAAGAGTGGGGAGCAGATGGGCAGCAACAGTGATGGACACGGGCAAGAACCAGGCTACAAATCAGGAACATGGGTCCTTCCATCACTAAGAGCCCAGAGGTGCCATCCTGGAACATCCACCCAAACGCACAGTTACAGCAGGCCCAGGAAGATGTGAGTGAATGCTGGCCACACCAGCATGAGGACCTGACTCTGAGTGCCTGGACCACTTTAAGAGGGGCCGGGCACGGTGCTGTGCACTTGTGATCCCAGTTCTGGCAAAGACGGTCAGGTTCACTGGCCAGCTGGCCTAGCCTAGCCTAGTTGGCGAACTCCAGTCTGGTGAACCCTATCTCCAAAAGAAGGTGGACAGCAACCATGGGACAACAGCAGAGGCTTCCCTTCTGCTCCACATCCGCACATGTGTGGACACACACACACACACACACACACACACACACACACACACACACACACGGGTGATGATGGTATTTGTGCTTCTAGATCGTTCCTTAGTCAGATGACTAAGGAAGTTCCTCTCAGACCAACTCTCCTACAGATAGAAATATAACTCTGGATGAAAAAAAGATCAAAGAATCTCATGAGTGGCAAGGCAGAGGGGCAGAGGGCAGAGGGCATGGGAGGGAAGTGAAAGCTGTACCAGGTAAGATTTGGTGACGGCTGTTAGCCTAAGATGGACCTCAGTCTGTGGACCACAAAGCCAAGCCAAACTTCAGACAAACATACAGTTTCACTGGCTTCAAGAGGCAGAGGGAGTCGGGCGTTGGTGGCGCACATCTTTAATCCCAGCACTCGGGAGGCAGAGCCAGGCGGATTTCTGTGAGTTCGAGGCCAGCCTGGGCTACCAAGTGAGCTCCAGGAAAGGTGCAAAGCTACACAAAGAAACCCTGTTTCGAAAAAAAAAAAAAAGAGGCAGAGGGGGAATACAGCTCTGATTGTTTCAGACACTGACACAGGGAATCTGAGAAAGGGGAGACCCAGAGAAGGGAAACCCCTGAATTCTGTGTAGAAACTCTGCTCAAAGTTCTGGCCAATTCCTAAACCACTACATGAGGCGCGTCACATACACAGGGCACTGTCCGAGCGGCCCACCCAAGGCTGAAAGGACACACAGGCTACTACTCCCTCTCAAGAGCAGAGTTTGCAGCAGGGATCCAACAGCTTCTTGGCAAAAAACAAAACCAGCACTCATGAGAAGAATATAACAGAAGCTAGACTGTCCACAACATAATCACAATGTCCACTGTACAATCCAAATGATTGCAGAAACCGTGGCTGTCTCTCAAGAAAAATGACGGCTCATGAGGATCCACCCCAAGTCACCGTGAAGATAATTTTCAAACACCGATTTTAAAGCAGTTGTAACTGCTCCTCCCATTACCATTGCTGATTCGTTTTTCTGTCAGTGACACAAGCCAAAGCCATTCAGAAAGAAGGAACTTCACCCGAAGAACTGCCTCCATCAGACTGGCCTATAGGCGAGCCTCTGAGGCATTGTCTTGATTAATGTTTTATGTGTGCAGGCCCAGCCCAGTGTGGACAGTTGCCACCCCTGGGCAGGTTTCCTGGGTTGTATAAGAAAGCAGACCGAACAGGCCAGGAAGCAGCCAGCGATCCACCATGGCCTCTAGGTTCCTGCCCTGAGTTCTCAGGGTTACAGTGTGACCTGAAAGTGGTAGGGGTACTAAGCCCTTTTCCTCCTCAGATTTATTTTGGTCTTGGTATTTTACAGAAGTTTGTACCGGGGGTGTGAGGCTTACTGGAATGGACCAATCATGTTACTGGGGGGAAAATGACTGGGGAAACATTTGGAACTCTGGTCTGAAAATGCTCAGAGTTTAAGGAGCCACTGTTATGAAAGCATGGAGGACAGGAGTGTGGAGGAACATGCAGACAACAGAGGCCTGTGAACTTCAGAGGAGAGAGGAGGCTCTATCAGGATCCTGCATGTAATATTTCTAATTAAAAAATCTGTGGTTGCTGATCATCTGGGGCTGAAGAACAAGCCGTGGTTAGTAAGAGACCAGCATCGCTGAAGTGAAATCTTCTGGAAAGCATTTCCTTAGTCAGCACACAGCAGCTGTCGTCCAGAGCTGGGCCAAGTCTGCATCTCCAGCTGGGAGCCAAACTGTGTCGTGGGTGAGACACTCCCACGTGATACTGGTTCTGAAAGCATGAAGGGATGGATCCTAGGGAGCAGCTGAGTCTCGGCACTATGTGGCAGGGTTTGTCTCTGTGGGGAGAGGCCACTGACGAAAGTGCAGCCTCAACTGCATTGGAAACCCCAAGATTTAAGGGGTCATGGAGAGGAACTGAGGCGTGGTACCATGAGGGGGGTCAGGGTTCCGAAGGAGCCGCCAGGAGGCCATTGGTGAAGGTGTAGCCTCCGTTGCAGTGGAGACCTGAGGAGATGCAAGGGCCACAGGACATCCCCAAGGCCAGCAGCAGACAGAGTGGAGCCGCCTGAGACTCCAAGACAAGCTATGTGTGCTATGGACAGCAGAGCTGGAAAGGTGAAGCTGCCCAGGAGCCCTGACGGTCCTGAGTGAAGTCCAACGCTGGGAATTGTGGGACTTGACTTACACAGCTGGATGATGGGTTTGCTTTGATCTAATGGCAACTATGTTCTGGTTCTTCCCTTTCGGAATGAGAAGTAAGTAACTTGATTTTATTTTACAGATCACAGTAGGGAGATTTCAGACTTTTAAAGACATGTTGGATATGTTAAAGAGAATTTGAACCTTTAAAGTGTGGATATTTTAAAGTCTGTGGGACTTATAAAGTCGTAGTATTTTTATATTATATTAATATGAGATCTTGGAAATCAATACAAAAGGAAAGGTTGTGGTTTAATAGTGATATATTTGTACATCACACTGAAAAAAACTTAATTATGAATGTTTTGTCAACTTGACACAAGCTGGAGTCGTTTGGGAAGAGAGAACCTCAGTTCAGGAACTGTCTCTGTAAGTCTGGCCTGTAGGCAAGTCTGTGGAACATTTTCTTGGTTAAAGATGAGTGTGGGAGTGGCCAGGCCACTGTGGGTGGCGCCACCCTTGGGCAGGTGGTCCTGGGGGGTATGTATAAGAAAGCAAACTGAGCATGTCATGGAGAGCAAGCCAGTAAGCAGTGTTTCTCCAGGATTTCTGCTTCAGCTCCTGCCTAAGCTTCCATCAAAGACGGACAAAGTTTGCAAGCTGAAATAAATCTTTTCCTCTCCAAAACATCCTTGGGCAATGTTTTATCACAGAAACAGAAACCAAACTAAAATAGTATTCATTCAACATGTAACATGAAGTTATTCAAAGCTAAAATACACTCAAGCAAGCAAAGTTTCACATATACTCCAGCTGCCGAATTAAAATCCAAGTCGGGGCTGGAGACGAGGCCCCGCAGTTAAGAGCACCTGCTGACCATGCAGAGGATTGAGATTCAGTACCCAGCTCCCTCATGGTGGCTCACAGCTACCTGTTCCAGTTCCAGGGACTCTAACACCTTGTGAACTCCACAGGCACAAGGTCTACACATAGTACATATACATACATGCAAGCAAAACACTCACACACATAAAGTAAAAATGAATAAAGGATTTTTGGAATGTAAATGGTCACTACTTTCTACATGTGTTCTCGAAGTTGCTCAATACAGTAGATTTTTTAAACATATACGTCTTCTAGGAACAAGTGGAACTCAAGGACCAAGTTTCTGATCAAAACTCCATTTTTAAGTAAGTCACAAAGACACATAATAGTGTGTTACTGCAAATCAAAACTGATAATACTTATATAGCACCACAAGTCTTTTTTTTTTTTAAAGAAAAAAAAAAGAGCCACAAGGCTAAACCAGGTGTCTGTCCTGGCAAGGGAAAGCATGCACTACGCTTACCATCACAGGCCTTGAGGTCAGGCAAGGCTCAAATCCCAGTGAGTTATTCTGCCCGCTTTGCACCTCAGCTGCCGTACAGAAAATGCCAAGAGGCACAGGACCCATTCATTCCTCCGGATTGCTGTGACAGTTCACGGGGCCTGGGAAGCAGCTCAGTGCATGTGCAAGCAAATCGGAAGCCACTAGAAAGGGGGTGGAGGAGAGGAGGAGCCAAGAGCAGAAACGGGTCCATTACTCCTTCTTAAATTACTGGCAGGGTTAGAGCACCTGCCTAGAACATGCGAAGTACTACCACACCGTCACCATCGTCATTGTCGTCATCGTCGACTTTCTGGGCACCCACACAGGGCCCGGAAACTTACTCCACACACACACTTCACATCCACAGAGCTCTGTTCACGGAGACAGGGCCATGAGCCTCCTGAGCAAGACTCCTGCATTCACCGCTCTTCACTTTTACAGATCTGGCACTAACGAAGCTTAAGCGGCAGATTAAAACTTAAAACGTGCCTGAGAAGTATGGAGAGAAAGTCACACTGTGAGCAGGGGTGTCAGTGTTTATAAAATTTGGGACTTGCCTTTAAAAAAAAAAAACAAAAACAGATGTTAGGACAGGAAGCCATCAAGAGAGGCAGCGTGTCCTTCCCCACATAGCTCTTCCTCCCTGAAACCGAGCCTCAGGAATGAAACATTTCTGCTAATTAAGCATTGAATGTGAGGAAGCAGAAGAAATGTCTAAATAAGTGTGTACAAGTCAGAGCCAGGAGCCTCTGGTCCAGTCATCCTTTGAACCTTCAAAACGCCTCCTCACAACGAGACCCCATTTCAACGATTGAGGCCAGGAAGCAGAGAGAAACGGAGAAACCACCAGCATTCCAGGAATTTCTGGCTGGTATGTGCCGGGCCAGGAGGCGCAAGTGAGAACTCAGCTGGAACATTCTCAAACACAAGAGATATGGGAACTCCAGAGAGCATGGCTCCTTGTGGGAACTAGAGGTAGGCTTTGTCCTAGCACATGATGGTTTACACAGGCCTGCATTCTGGTCTCCTCACGCAAGCATGACAGCTCTGGAAACTGAGGCAGGGTAATCCCAGGCTAAATGATCAAAAGCTAGGGAGACAGTCTACTCAGGGCATGCAGTCTAGAGTCTTCTGGCAGTCTGGCCAGTAAGACGCGCCTTATCAAGTTCTTTTTCTACCAATGGCCTCAGTGCCTTCATCTGCACAGTGCCAAGTATCCGACTTGGCTGGGAGGAGGGGAGTTACAGGGTCCTTTCCTGGAAATCGCTCCTATCCATAAAAGTCCTCATCAAGAACAACCCATCTTCCATTTGGATTTCCTGAGGAAGTGGTGTGAACACCCACCAAAACATCCACGTGTACACACACAAATGACAATCTCAGACTACCATCCCCTGCTGCCGCTTTCTTTAGCACAATGCAACACAGTTGGCCAAAGCATACGACCTCCATCCCCAAGTCTGGCAAGACATCATAATACTAGGTCCCTGGGGAATGCCATCCAGGGCCAAACTTCCAGAACTCATCTGCGTCCTATCATATACAACTGATAAATACAGCGAGCGTCAAAGTTTCTTATAATTGCATAATTAAATGAGATGAGGCTGGCCAGAGTACTTGGGATCCCTGAGCACTCTGTGAGCACTCGGTGACTGAGTATCCCTATGGCTTTTCCCCTCAGACAGTGAGCTTCTCCCCAAGCTGCCCTGCCCAGCTCCCCTGGTAGACACCTGTCAATCACTCTTGACTAACCAGGTTTTAATAGTTCCCTCAGAAACTGAAACATTCCATCTATAGGGAAGCTCTTTAAGAAGGAGGTGAACAACTCAAAATAGCTTCAGGAAGTCCTTGAAACTGACCAGATCCACTAGGCCCCTCCTTGCCAGAGTAAACAATAAAAACTTGGAGAACCTCTCAGAAAAGTGAAGCCAAGCTACCAAGAAGACTCTCAGACCAACTGCCTAGGAGAAACAGAAACCAGCTACGCTGCCTGGACAGGTTTAGAACAGTCCTTGGAAAGGACACTCCACAACCTGTCGGGCTGCCTGCAGGCTGTGCAGTGTGCTCCAGGGTCCTCACCTTTGTGAGCTGTCACCATGCTGGGGTGGGCCCTGGTGATGCGGCTGCCTGTGAGTCATCTCTGCCCCTGTAAGTGACCCTCACCCATATCCCAATAAATCCCACTGGTTCACAAAGCTGGACTTCGGTCTGTCGTGGGCCCCCTCTCTGGGGTGAGTAGATGTGTGTGTTGTGTCTCCCCAGGAAGAGTTTTGTCTCACACCATCTGGTCACGCCTGTCTTCTGTTCTGCCAGTGCCCATCACCACACCTTCCACATTGCCCTGCTGCACCAATGATACAGCGCCATCCTAAAGGTAAACGGCCCCAGGAAGAGCAGATTCAGACACCTTGTTTTGCGAAAGGAAGAAAGAGCTAGAGAACCATTGCCATCCTTTCTGTTAGGGTAGGAAATCGTGTGCTCAGGGCTGCACATCTCTAGATGTGAGATAACAAAACAGCACCTTCACTGAGCATCACCTCAGGGCCCAGACTCCACCAAAGGTAACACAGAGGAGCCAGGCAGCTCTCCGGAGAGAAGGTCACAGACAGGCAAGCCAGGACCTCACCAGGCCTGTGCCACACCAGGCTATGGCTTCCATCACGATACCAGCTCTACTCCGACACAGCACGGACGACTAATAACGTGCTGACTAAGCCGTCAAGGCTGCTGTTCCCCTCCCTCCTGTAGGAGAAGCACAGGCTGACTCTGCCCAGCCTCTGGTGACAGGTGGTGCTGCGAACAAGGGACTGCGGTCGATGGGGGTCTGGAAACCACTCAAGGAGGCAAATGAAAAGCAAACAAACAAAACAGGCCGCACGCCTTTAATCCCAGCACTCAGGAGGCAGAGGCAGGTGGATCTCTGTGAGTCTGAGGCCAGCCTGGTCTACAGACAGAGATCCAGGACAGGCTATTACACAGAGAAACCCTGTCTTAAAAAAACCAAAACCAAACAAACAAACAAACAAAAAACCCAGGCTTCCACCAATGACCTTAAACTGCTTCTCATGCAGCGTCGTGCTAAAGTCAATAGTGCCTCAGCCACCACCATGTTCCCCAAATTCTGCGTGTTTGCTGTTGTTTACTAAAGAACCACGCATCACTGCGACATTGCCTGGGAAGCCAGTTATGTAGCCACGTCCCAAGCAGGTGGAGCATACACATTCAGGACAGCAACACAAACCACACTGACTATTTCTCCTGTAGCCAAAATATGCAAGTCAACACCACAGGGGGGCAGAGGGATCAGCTCAGCCCCTCCTCCCAGCACTGGGCACTTAGGATGCGGCTTCTAGGCCCTATGAGTTTGGAACCTGCCAGTCGGGAGGCATCGGTCTGTTGGGCTGTGTCGTGTGTGTGTGTGTGTGTGTGTGTGTGTGTGTGTGTGTGTGTGTACACCAGACACAGCAATGGTTTTTGGGTCCAAGAAACTGAGACTGACCTATGGTGATATTTTACTATTTGTACTAAAATGTGATTTGTATGTTAATAAATAAAGTTGCCCGGGGGTCAGAGCTATTAGAGCCATAGCAAGAGCATGGCGGTGGTGGTACACACCTTTAATCCCAGCACTTGGTAGACAGAACTAGGTAAATCTCTGTGTGTTCAAGGATACAGCCAGCATTGGAGACACATGCCTTTAATCTCAATCCCAACCATAGAAGACCTGGAAGTCTCTACAGACAGGCAGTGACGAGGCAGTCATGTGGTTGGGTTTACAGCCAATGAGAAGGCAGAACAGAAAGACTATTTAAAGACAGACACACAGGAAGTAGCTCTGGTTCGGAGAGGTAGAACCACCGCAGGAGGAAGGGTAAGGTTTTAGCTCTGACCTCTTGGCTTTCTTCTTTACATTGGTTCTGTGTTTCTTATTTAATAAGACAGTTGGTTACATCCACACTGGCCTGTGAGCATTCTGTGTTGCCAATGCTGCAGAAGCATAAAGAGAGTGGTTGTCACACTGGTTGAGGGGAAAAAGCTGATCCCAATGTCCAAGGGGAAACTGGATTCCTGCTATGGGTTGGGGAGCAGGGAAAGGCTGGCTGCCCCAGGAGTTCCCCAAGTGTCTCCTTTCTTCTGTTGTATCTAAGAGTGAACGAGCCAGATGGCAAGCCCGATCCACCTGAGCAAGGCCGATCACCCTGCCACCTCCCAACCCATCTGAGCAAGGCCGATCACCCTGCCACCTCCCAACCCATCTGAGTCAGGCCGATCACCCTGCCACCTCCCAATCCACCTGAGCCAGGCCGATCACCCTGCCACCTCCCAACCCATCTGAGCAAGGCCGATCACCCTGCCACCTCCCAACCCATCTGAGCAAGGCCGATCACCCTGCCACCTCCCGATCCACCTGAGCAAGGCCGATCACCCTGCCACCTCCCAATCCATCTGAAACCTGCTCCAGACTAAGCCAGGAAGATGATCCAGGCCACCCAGGAACCACACTGGCTGGGACTTTGTTCTCACTCGTGAGAATGACAGTGTTTAAAGCCTCTGCAGGAGGTGAGAGGGCCAGGCCAGTATCATGACAGCTTTGTAACTCAGTAAGAACTGGGCCTCGGTCCCTGCTTTTTGGAACTGAGCAGGCAATTTCTGAGGAGGAGCCACAAACAAAGGACAACCCTAAACTCCAACACCCCCAACAGCAAGGACCAGGAGGCCTGTTACAGCCTGAGCCATAAACAGCTCAAGGTGATAACCAAATCAGGACGAAGCCTGGGACTTGTTCAGGCCTGCCAAAAAATGGAAACCTGTATCCCTCCCCAGCCCCTGACTAGCCCTGGCCAATTAGAATGCACTAATATGATTGCCACTTACTTGAGCCAATCATATCTAAAATGACCTAACTGCCTTAGGACCTCCCCTTGGCTATGCTCAAAAGGAGCCCACACATCCCCCTCAGGGTCATGGCCATTTTGCCTTTGTGTGGGATGGATGGCCCTAGCATGCTGGAAGCTTTCTGCAGATAATAAATGCTCTTGTTGATTGCATACATGGATGGTGGTCTTTTGTGGGACTTCTCCAAGATGCTAACAAAGGGAGGGTAGAGGATGCACGTCTGGGGGCCAGCTAGGAGGGCCAAGCTCCAGCTCCAGATGCCACTCCTGGTTCTCATATGCAAGTAGGTGGGGGCCGTGCTACCTACATATTTCCTTTGCCAGCTGAGCCCTGAGGCTCTTAAAATAGGGGAGGGGGAGATAGAAGAAGGTCCTCATCCTCTGTTTCAGATGTCACCCTGGTGTTCACAGGTCCTCTAGAACCAGCCCCATGATGTCAGAGGTGCTGAAGATGGAGCAGTCAGTGAGACAGAAAAGGTTCCTGGTGCCAGGTACTTTGAGTCCAAGAAGGGAAATGATGCTGAATACATAAGGAACTATTCATCCTAGGCTTGAGGGCCCAATCCAAAGCCTCAGCCTGGGACTCAGTCAGTGGGGTGGTTTCAGTCTGAGACCTCTGGCCACTGGCACAAACATATCAGAATAATGTCACCAAACAACAGTTGGAGGGTCGATTGAGACCATGTTACCTACTTGATAGTCACATACTTCCAAAGAAGGCTTTAAAATTAATCGCCATTATAAATATTTTGTATTAATCACTCATTCAGTCACTCAAAGTCTCAACACTGAGGCCCTAAGGACTTGGCCAGGACCTTGGCAGTCATGAAGCTTATTTATGGATGGGAGACCCCATAACAGCTGGAGGATGACAGTAAGACTGAAGATGATGAGGCTCCACACATCAGACAAAGCAGGACGTGAAGGCGGGTGAGGGCGCTGAGCATGCTCCAAGCAGGTGGGAAGAGACCGTGGCTGGAGCACATTCTGAGGCTGGACAGGGAAGGGCCGTGGGAAGGCCTGGGTCAGGGATTCCAGGCAAACAGCTCTCCAGAGAGGCACCGGGGGATTTCCGACATAGATGTGCTTGGGGCACATCTAGTCAGCGGTGAACCCGTCTCAGGGAAGCCCTGCTTATTCCCAGCAATCCTCCAGTTAGCCCTGGCCCCGCTGCTCCCTACAAGGTTATTTTTCTTTACTTTCAATTTGCATTGCAAGCTGGAGAGAAATGAATTACATCCCCCGGGTTCCTCTGTTCCATACAATTAAGAAAAGCTATTTCTTAGTCACAAGGCAGTGGAGGACAGGAAGATGTCCCATTTTCTCTCAGCAGGGAGGCTGTCGTCACTCAATATTAATTGATCCTACTTTTCATCCATAAAGCAGGGCTTGAAGCAAATTTTTGGTCACAAAAATGGCAACTATTACACTATTAAGGTGAATTATTAATGGCGTCCCCATTAACGCACGCTTGTGTTCGTGCAGGGCCGGCTGCCTCCACGTGTGCCGTGTTGCTCTAATAGGGAAAATGCGTAAATTATTATAGTCCTCGCTGATTCTAGATGAATTGCCGGCACCTAGCATGTTAGAGGTCTGCTGGAGGTTTTCCACCATGTCATCACAAGGAACACACAGAAACTGTGTGATGCGGCTTGGCACCCAGCAGGACGGCATGTCAATCGAACACAATCTTATTTTTCTGCTGGAGAGCTGATGAAGTGAAGACAGAAAGACTCGAGTGACTCAGAAGCTGAGGAGACCGGCTGTTGCTTTGGGGGAGGGTGTTTATTTTAGCATGGGGGGAAAAAGCTTTCTCTAGAGCAGAACTGAATAGAGGAACCCGGGATGCAAGGGAAAAGGAGGGGAGGGAAGGGGGGAGGAACTGGAAGGGAGGGAGGGAGGGAAGAGGACAGGAGAAAAGGTCTAGCTATATGTGAGACATGTACACAATCCACAATCCACAAGGAGCCCAGCTGAGGACTGGAAGACCCCCATCCACTCCTGGTGCCCATCATCCCGGCTGGCACCCTGAAGGGCAGGACTCCAAGGGGGCCTCTGTTGCCCAACCCTGCCAACTCCTTAGTCATTTGTTTTTTAATGCTGAGTCTTCTAGAAAGCTAACCCCGAGCAGGGCATTTGCATTTTGTCAATAAGCTTAAATGTCACAAGTCTTGACTCCTCTGGGTAGAAATCAGGCCCAGTAACTCAGAAGGCAGCTGATGAAAGCCACAATCCAAGCAGAAGTCTTTTCTTAAACATATGATTGAGTTTAGAGATGAGTTCTGCTCTCCAAGCCTGTGACATGAGTTACAGATGCAATGGGTGTGGCCCCGAGGAAACGATAAAGATGGAAAAATGCACACCATGATCATTTGCTTCTGGGCTAGCTCACAACACTGTTGAGATCACTCTTGTTAACAGCCTTTAAGAATCCAGGCAGCCACCCCCCCGCCCAAGGTATTGGCTGCACAGGCCTCACAGCTGCCCCTCCAACTGGACACCTGCCCTCAGACGACAGAAACCACCTGGTGGGGTATTTAGGCAGTTCATCGGAGTCTCAAAAGGTCACTAGTGATGCCCTTTCTTTCTGCTCACAGTAGCAAAGAGTGTGGACTATGGCCGTTGGAACCCACACCCTCCCCCTTTTTAGCTAGTCTTCCCAGAACACAGAAGTTGAAAGCTAAAAACTCTATTTCCCATCCACAGTGGGGAAACGGGCACACAGTAGTCAGGTGACTTTCCCAAGACCACATAACCAGTAAGTGGAAAAGCCAGAATTTTGAAGCCAGACAGGTTTGGTTCAAGACCCTGTATTCTCACTACTCCATGAGCAGCCTCTGCCAGGGAAAGAGATCCATTTAACTAAACTGCATGTGATATATATAGTGAGATACAACGAGTTATCACCAAGCTCACATCTACAGCCTGTCAGTTTCAGTGGGTCAGGAGCCCAGCTGCAGCTTAGCTGGGAACCTTGGGTTCACTCCCCCAGGAGGCTGCCTCAGGTGGCCACCACGGCTCAAGCCACCATAAGGCTCACCAAAGAAAGTTCACTTCCCAAATCACACACGTGGTTGGCGGCAGGAGTTAGTTCCTGTGCACTGTGGGTCTGCAGGTCCACTTCCTCTTCTGCTGTCATCTGTGGGCCTCCCTCAGGTCCTTGCCATGTGAGTCTTTCAACAGGACAGCTCACAGCATGTCGTCCCTCGGAGGGAATATGTGAGAGAGTCCAACAGCAGCCAGTCTTTTTATAACTCAGTCTCAGAAATGGAAGGCATTGCTTTCCTGTAGCCTATTTACAAGAAGCAGGTCAGCAGGTCCCATTCATATGCCAGGGAAAGGAATTGAAGGACGTGTCTCTTAATGGAGCCACTAAGGTCACACAATAATAAACAGAGATGCTAACTTTAAAGCTGCCTTTTCCTCAGGTCCTTTGTTCCCATGTCCAAGTTCAGTCTAGTCCTTGACATTCCTCTCAGTTAGAAAGTTTATAAAACATGGTGGGGTTACCTTTCTGGGATAGTGGCTTCTAGCACTTACCTCAAAGATAAGTTCTCTTGGATTTGAGTTATTTTGATCTAACTTGTTGACTGAATTCCACAGTAAGAAACCACGGTAAGACATTCCATAGTCCCCCAAACACTGCAAACTGCCAGCAGTTTCTGGCAAGATCATATTGCTGAAGAAACTCACATACTTGAGGTACAGGACACGGAAAAAGAACTAGTACCAACCTGGAAGCTCCATCCCTACGTGACAGCTTCCACAGCACTAGAAGTTTCTATGTACAGTATCAAGAGAGAAAGATACTCAACAACCGTACTCAGGGGTGCACCTTGAAGCTACATAGAGGCTGACCTGGGGATATGTGCCTCTGCGGAAACAGTGGCACAAACGTATTGGGGGTGACCAACCACTTTCTGGTTAAACTTAAAGTATTGAGCCCCCATACCCACCCACCCCCCCAAAAAAATCTGTGACTGGCTAGGTTATAGGTGCTAAGAAAGAGCCTAATACTGTCATCCATTAAATGGACAAAGTAGTAAGCTGCCCGCAAGGTCTCATCTTCTTTAAACACTGATTAGTGCCTCTCTCAACCCTCACTGGAGAAGCTACCTTCTGTAGTATATGGCACACATTGACATGGCAGAGAAGATAATATAAACTATTCAGCTCTACATGAGACATCTGAATCTCACCCTCCTACCCCAGGGCTCAGGTGGAGAAAAACTCTGAGAGTCAGAGGTAAGGAGGCGTCTGTAGAGAAACGTTATTTGCTCCACACAAAGGGGCTATTGCACACATCAACTTACAACAGCGGAGACGCATGGACAAGACCCACCTAGTCAGGACAGGTGACCCCCACATGGATGGGAAGGGCTCATGAAGTACCACCCCTAACTACTGGCAGCTGATGGCTCCTGATGGAGAATCAGTTTTCTTCAGGGATATGGGACCCTGAGGGGTTACCCTTGCTTTAGTAGATGGTAGTAGCCTCGGCAGGATATTTAAAAAGTAGCACATGAAGTTGGGAGGGAAAAATGGTCATGGCAGAGGGAAGGGACTGTGGGTAGGTGGGCCAATCAAAACACCTTATATGTATTATGAAATTCTTAAGACAATAAAAATTATCACAAAAAAGAAACCATAGTGGATAGGAATAAACCTTTGTCATTATTTAAAGATTAGCAAGAATCAGTAACAAGAAGGGAAGCAGTTAGGAAAGCCATTTTGAGGATAAAGCAAAGCATCCAGGAAGCCCCCGTCCTTCCATCAACTCCCAGCATCCTTCTGGCCTTCTTATCCACCCAGGCTAGTAGACACAGCAGCAATAACTTTTCTTTCACAACCTTCATCTGGCTCTGGCTAACCAGATTGCTTCTCACCAGAAGCCCTGAGACTGAAGACCCAAAAGTATGTCCCCAGAGTACATTCTGTACACCCCATTAAGCCCAGCTTAGAAGCACAGATCGCTGGCTTGAGTGAAGCCCTGGGGTATTCTAAGCTGAAGTTGAATGGGCCCAAAGATTCCACTTGGTGTGGGATTAACAGGGCCTTTTTGTATTTGTAGTTACCAACAGCAGACAAATATCCAAGCAATCAGGGATTGACCAGGTCACAATAAGTAAAGTCTGGTACTTCTCCAAAAGGAC